CATGGATGAATTTAATACCTGAGATAAGTGTACGGGTTTTTTTTAAAAAAAATTATAGGCGCAGTGTGGAAACTTTCCGATCGCACCTCGTACACACTGATGCACGGGCATGATTCCACAAGTCTGAATTTCTTTAAAAATAACTGACTTATAACGCCTCTATGAAGGAATTGAACGGGTCACCTAGCATAGTGAGGATAGTGAAATCTAGGAGGCTCCCATGGGCTGGACATGTAGCACGCATGTGGGGGGGGGGCTAGGGGTGCATACAGGATTTTACAGGGACTCTTTCTGGAAAACGACCACTGGGCAGAACAAGAAGGAGATGGGAGTATAACATCAAGATGTATCTTAGGGAGGTGGGCTGTGAGGATGGCAGATGGATGGTATTGGCTCAGGATCGTGGCCGGGGGCGGGCTTTGGTGTTGTGGCGGTGTTGAACCTGCGGGTTCTGCCACCAGGGAGTTAGTTATGAGGGATATAATTAAGTGCTATTTTTTTTTCTGGGGCGATATGTTTTGACCACTTAACTAGTGTTTTCTTACGCTTAACCGAGGCAGTGAATCGAATCTGACGTGGTTCGTAACGGGACTGTAAACCATGAATACAGAAATCAACACCAGAAATTCCAAAGCGCATTAATGACCTCGGATTTAAGTACGTAAATGAGTTGTAAAAGTGGCAGCTACATTTAAGTCACAAAATCATACGTAGCGTAAGACACTTTAACCGGAGGGTGACGAATCCTTTTATTATTACCGAAGTAAAATAAATAAGACCTAACTGTACTGAATCTCTTTATAAGAATGAAATATTTTAGCATTCACCAAGTCATGAATGGGAAGCATTTTAGTCAAAACACAATCTGAAGTTCTCTACCAAGAAGTAGACGACTGCGTTCGAGGTAATATTAGCTGTTTATTAGGATCACACGATTCACAACGATCTATACATTAGTTTAGTTGTCTATTTATCTGCTCATGCGCTGCACACGGAGTTAATTGGGTAAGAAACAAACAGATTAAAGTGGACACTAACAACTAGTATGAACTGCGGGTTACAGCCACGTTTCCTGACGCTGATTTACTTTTGCTGATATTCGTGACATAGAGATTTCCCTATGACTACTACATGGCATTTCTATGCATTATTTGTACAAAATGCATACAATAAACAGAATATCTAAAGCACAGGTCTTGCCTGTTCATCTCCGTAACTGACCAACAGATTTTCATCAAATTTTGAATTTAAAATATATATTAACATTTACTAAGGCATGTTCAATTTTGGTCCTAACTGATTCCATATAACCTCTATTTTACATAAACTTCAAATCGCTTAAAAAAGGTTAATTGTATAGTATATAACACAAAATAAACATCTCATTAAAATCTACAAATTTCAGATGACATTTTTCGATGAGACGTATATTAACAAACTACGAAATTCTATGAGCAGTAATTATTCAAAAACGTATAGTTACACAGCTTGTAAATAAATTTTCCGCTTTTTATGTAATCCCAAAGTCCACCATCTGTTCACAACTGCAGAACACGGATCCCAACATTGAATCTCTAGTCTATATCCTAACATCTCTTTCATCATCCATTTTAATAATATTGACCTCTACGTACCCCAAGATGCCTATTCTATTGACGTTTTCCGACTACAATTTTGTATGCATTTTTCATTTTCCCCATGTCCCAGTCATTTCAGCTGCCTTAATTTAATCGCATTTTTCATTTTCCCCATGTTCCAGTCATTTCAGCTGCCTTAATTTAATAATCCTCATATTTTATGGAGATAAGAAATTGTTAAGCTCTTCACTATGCAAATTCCCCAGCCTCCTATTACTTTGTCTTTAACCTTATTCTTCAATCGAAATATTTTTTTCTCCTTCGACTAAGAAATTAAAGCATTCCTTTTGCCATTAAAATTTGTCTACTGTTTCAATGCCACCAATATCCCCCCTGCATTCTGAATGAAACCAAAGTTTTACTATGTAAATTCTCTTAATACCGAATTAAACGAGCCCGCCATACATTCCAAGTTCCAAATCTCGGGTCATTTTTCCGTTGTTCAGTTCGTGCCAATGATTTGCCCGAAACCATGTGCAATATATCGTTACATATTAGTTTTTTTATGATGAGAAGTTCACACAAAAATATATAATCTAAGATTACGTAGTGTTTAATTTTAGTGTGATTATCAGTGACAAATGTTGTGCCTGCAATTAATGAATAAGAGTCCAATGCTATGTGCAAAATCATGTAAGACGCATTTGAAAACTCTGTTTACTCTGACGAACTGCTGTAAACTATTCCTTTCGTTTTCATTTGGGTATTAAATAATCGTTAATGTCTGGATATAACTCAGAAAACCAAGCTGAAGGCTTGCATATGTTACGATTTCCCGAAAACGCTTGAAGGAAACGGTAAATACTTTGAAAACGTAGTATCTGTATTTCCCGCATCAACGGTCACATAATTTGAAACATGAGGTAAATGCAACGTTGCCATTTATGGGATCAGAGCAGTAATACCAAGGCCCCGCTCTTCAACAAATGGCAACGTTACTCGTCCCACGTTAACTAGTCGTTTTTCAGCTGTGCATTAACTATTGTGATTTATGAACGTTCGTGTACTTCATATATTAATGTGTTTAGTTTTTTAAATATAGTATATATATATATATATATATATAAATTCCAGTCACAATTCTGATTAAGAAATTCCTTGGCCGTCGGCATCAATTCAAGCGAAAACAAAAATCCCAGATATCCGTAAACAAAGTGAAAGGATTGTGCATGATGTTAATAAGTTTTTAAACATTTGAGAACCCAGGAGATCAAGACATCCAACAACGAATCCACAATTAAACAATAATTAACAGAATAACAACGCACTTATACTAGAAAACTGCTCGTTAAGAATGATGGGAACATCTAAAGTAGCTCATCTAAATATTACTTAAAACTTCAGTCCGTACCTCAAAGAAAATACCATTTTTCCATTACTGAGACCAACTGGTCAATGCTGTTTAAGGATATAATCCCTGTTTATATTAATAATCACACGAAACCATAAGTACAAAATACAGCGTTACTGATTGTTAAAGCAGGTGGCACATATAGTTACCACTTGGCTTTAAAGGGTTAATGCTCTCTTGGTTTGTAGAATGTCCCGAAGGCGGTGTAGACGTGGCAATCAGCCGAAAATTCAATGCTGTGGTCGTGGCTTTAGTGGTTTTTCACTATATGTAGTATTTTCGTACACCACGACTAAATTCGTTTTACTGACAACACTTCAGGTCTTCCGCTAAGCTACCATTCCTCCAAATTTCGCTTGGTTTTTAAGAAATTGCTGCAAACTTTTGCACTCCTAAAATTGTTTCGAAATGTCCGCTGTTCGATTATAAGAACCTCAGTTCAGAAATACTTTTCACTAAGAATATCCGTTGTTCAATAGTACATAAAGTCACTTTGTCCAATACGTACCAGTACTTATCTATGAAGATGTAGCCAGCGAAGGTATACAGGCAGCTAAACGTTTTAATGGCTGGAATAACGGTAAT